TTTTGATAAACTACTTTTTAGCCTTGGTGATCTAAATAAAATTCGTAGTGTTCGTTAAACCGAGAATATGTATATAAAGAACGCCCAAATTTGACTTCGTATGAGGAAGTTATGATTTTTTTAAGTTTCAGCTTAGAAGTAGACAGCTAAAAACTCGAATTTTAGATCGAGTGATTTTTAGCCGAAACAACCTAAATGAGAATCGAAGGTCTCGTCCATAGTAGTACAACGGTAAAAAGACAGACGAAAACGGACGTCGGATGAAGAAGTTATGAATTTTTAACGGATTTACCTGTCCCGGTCTGTTAAAAATAATAATATAAAAATTAAAGTTAAAATTAGCCGACGAAGTCTAAACGAAAGTTGTAGAGCATAATTTTACCTACACGTGCATATAAAGAACGTCAAAAACGGAGCCCGTATGCCAAGGTTATGGATTTTAGAATTTTTTGGCTCAAAAATCGAGAAAAACACGATATCCGAGAAATTTCGCATGGTCCGGAATAGGCCACGTCACCCTCGCTCGGAACCCGCCTCGTGTCCGCCATGTGCTCGTTGCTGATTCGACTGAAGGTGCGGCCCAGTAAGGACTCGACACGCCTCGCACCGGTGGTAGATCCGAAGCGCGGTCCAATAGGCATCCGACACGTGCCCTCCTTACGTGTCCGAGCCTCGCAGGTGCGCCACCTCTCCCCCCCTCGCACCCTAGACCTTGGTCCAATCAGAAGCCACCACCTGGAGCCTTGCATGTGATCCGTGTGTTCTCTTCTCAGCCCTCGGATCCGAAGCTCTCCCCTATAAATAGACGTGTGCGAACCCTCCCGGGTAATTTTGGGATTTTGCCCTTTTTCACCTCTAAACTCATATTTTCACCATTTCGACTTCCCCCGAAGCCCCGAGATCATTTCCAACACCCGAAACACGCCCCGAAGTGCCCGAGAAGCCCGAGAAATTTATCTTTTCGGTTTTGAAGCTCCACCCTCGCAGAGCCCGGTTTTCAATAAAACGTCCCGGTTTTATCAGAAACGATTATTTTAGGAAACGAAGTGTTGCCCGATTATCGTTAAATCAAGTGAGTGCATAGTCACTTTCATCTTACACATAGATATGAATTATTTTATATAAAATACGTGCTATGTGAATATATATTGTTTGTTTATTTGAGATGGATGTTGAAGGAATGATTTATACAGGTTTTTAAATAATTTAAACTGTATATGTATTTTTTTTATCTACAAAAATGTTGGGTAAAACATGGGTAGATGAAATAGTTGGTATGTGATGAAAGATGAGTTGGATAAATGAGATGATCGGTGATATAGATCATTAGATAAGGGTGAGCGGTAATATATGAGAGAAGCACTTACTCAAACGTTGGCCCCCGTCATTTAACAGAGTATGAATGACAACCATGGAATCTTCTAGACGGTCCGTGGAACACTAGCAGGCTCGTAACCTGTAAGTGTGTGAACTATATGTTCATCAGTTGTACTCTAAAAACCCATTCACATGTATTGCAGGTGGATTCCCGTGAATAATACTGTCGATAAATGAGAGCTATGGACTTAGCACATGTTGTATAAACCTTGGCAGCTATGGACTTTGTGCCTGTTGTATAAACCTTGGCGACGATGTGACTTCGTGCCTATTTGACATAAATTGCTGAGGAAAAGCAGTATTGTCACTCCGATGTAAATTGCGGAGGAAAAGCAGTGTTGTCACTCCGATGTTTGCCTTATTTGACATAAATTGCGGAGGAAAGCAATGTTGTCACCCCATTGGTTGCCTTATTTGACATAAATTGCTGAGGAAAGCAGTGTTGTCACCCCGATGGTTGCCTTATTTCACATAAATTGATGAGGAACCCCCGAAGCAGTGTTGTCACCCTGATGAAAATCCTTAGGCTAGGTCCCTTGTGATAGTTGTTTTAGGGACGTAAAGTGAGGATAACGAGAATGGGTAATCAGGGTTATTTTTGGTTGATGAAATTAATAAATTTATTGTTGAGTGATGAAATTAATAAATTTATTATTTGTGGGTTGAAAACCCTATATGCTCATCAGGCTCCCAAGCCTGACCCACTCAGTTTCTTGTATTACAGGTAGTGGCAAGAGCATAGTTGGATGACTTAACGAGAGATTTTGGATTATAGGCCAGTAGATGTAAATAAATGTTGTAAGGCTTATAATATACTGTTTATGCTTTTGATCTGTATCGGAACATGACATCCCGAGGTTTTGTTATGAAATGGAAAATATATTTCTTTAAGAAATGTTTTGATAAAATTTTATTATATTTCGTTTTGGGAACAAATTCGGCAACATCTTTTGGAAAATTACTCTGATTTTATTTTAAAAGCATAAACTAAATTGGTTTTTTCTGGCCGACAAATTTGGGGATGTCACAAAACTCAAATGAAAAAAATACCGAGGCGACCGGATAGTTACCGGAAGTGTAGAATCAGCTGTCATAATTAGGAGGCCCAAACACCGTTATTCGAGACCTCAGCCTTAGAAAATAAAAAAAAATTACATACTGAAACGTTTTGTGGGCGGTAATAATAGCTTTAGGATGATTTGCTTCTGAATGTTTAAAAAGAATCTTTATCGACAACTCTGGACCCACAGAACACGGACCTATTTGTTGACACGCCCTACCCTCGCGGTAACAGAGAGCTTAAGTATCAGATCCACACAGTCAAGAAAGAAGAAAGGGTAGAATTGTGATATCCAGTACCCAAATCAGAATCAAGTGCCAAAACGAAGAAATTATCAGAAATTCAAAAGTTGATTGAAGAACTCAAGCTCAAAATGAAGATACAAATCCAAGTTCAATCAAAATTAAAAGCCGCCTCAAAGTCAAATCTGGCGAATGAAGAACTGTGTGATATGATACTTGTGGCTCTCGAAAAAGTGAAAGCATAGGAGCTGGGCCCCTTCGGGTGGGCTCATTGTTTCAGCGAAAGCTGATTCGCCGTGACGGGTTCTTAAGGATGCGTCGATTCTGATTCTTGGCCATCTAGTCTTAAGGACATGAGATCCGGACTGTGTTATTTTCGCCCATAAAGCTAATTAAGGTATGAAGTTTAAATAAAACTATGGTTGGATTATTGGGTTACACCGTTTCGGGTCTTCCTCACTTTGGGAGTCTGTGAAATGTGAAAGGAAGCAGGATGGTTGACTAGGTATTAATGATTGGAGCCACATTGATGTAAAGTCTGATCGTACTTATATAGATAAATTACTTGTGTTCTTAAATTTCTCTTTGGTTCATTTTGTTTCTTTAGTGCTTTTGTACATATTTTTCTTTTTCATGGTTTTCATTGCATGCATTCATTCCTAGCCTTTAGGATCTTTCTGTTCCTTTTTGCTCTATGTTTCTTTTTGCCCTCTAGAAATCATCCTGTTTCATCTGATTCTTGTTCTTTCTTAAGGACAAGAAAGGTCTAAGCTTGGGGAGATTTGTTAGGTGCATTTTGTGCACCTTTTTGCACATCTTTTAGTCCCTTTTTATGCATCTATTTAGCATAATTGTTCTTCAATTGTCTTTCATTTCATCATATTCATGTTAGTCTCTAGAACAACCTTATTTGCACACTTTCATGTCTTTTTCAGGTAAACCGGAGGTTGGAACGCGCTTTGGGAAGTGCCGGGAAGCATTGGTGAGGATTTCGGGATGATTAGGTGAAGAACGGAAAAGTTGCAAAAATCAAGTTTGGATCCGGTGACAGAGGAGTACACGACCCGTGTTGGATTTAGACTGCAGAATGGGCACGGGCCGTGTTGACCAGAATGGGAGCTGTTGACTTCACTGAACACGACCCATGTCAGTTTAGCCTATTTTGACACCGGCCGTGTTGGCCTTGCTGAGCAGTTTTGAGCATCGAACTTTGGAGTTGGAATTGAGGATTGAAGACCATTTTCCATTCAACACGACCCGTTTTGATTTGCTCTATTTTGACACGGGCCGTGTTCGACCCAAAAACTGCCTTTTGGCAGTTTTTCCTATTTTTCATATCTCGGGATTTGGGCATTGGGAAACACACACATCATATCAGAGCACATTTTGTGAGGGGATTTCGAGGATTTTTGCAAGGGTTTGATCAGTAATCATTTGGAAACATTATTTCTAGTATTTGTAAGTTGTAATTGCACATTATTTCAATCTTTTAAACTTGTGATCTTGTTCTAGCCATGTTTGGCTAGAACCCTAGTTTCTCCAATTTCATGTTTTGACTTCTTGGTAGTGACTTCAATCATATGACCTGATGTTTGTTCTTAATTTCTATCTAGTGAATTTGATTTTGCTTTAATCGAATGTTTGATTCTAATTATGATTCTTATTGGCCATTTGAATTAGGGTTAGGTCATTCAAGTTATCTCTTTTACAAAATCCGTAATTGTTTTGTGAAATTGAACAAGTAACAAGCATTAAATTGATCTCTATTGAATGAATTTAGTGTAAATCTTATTCATACACTCTTACACTCCCGAGCTTGTGAGGAGTATTGGGTGTTGTTGGGAACATTCACATAAAGATTCATGCAATCATTTAATCTGATTCTAAGGGCTTGTTTAGATTAGGTTAGTAAGGTTAGGGTTAATCAAAGAGCTTGTTTTGGTTAATTAATGTGGTGAATGGGAAGTTTTAGAGCTTGTTAACACTTTCAAGTACCAACTTAGATAGAATTGAGTAAGTATCTAATCATCTTTGAATCACATTGCTAAGTTGTCAAACATTGAGTTGGAGTCCTTACAATTTCTGAATTTAATTCACTTATTTAGTCGATTACTTGTGTATTTAATTATTTGTTCTAATCATTGCATTCAAAACCCCCCTCTTTACTGTTGGTGACCTAAGTACCTTGCGCAAAGGGGTATAGACTGATTGTCACGTGTCTCTGTGGATCGACCCTACTTGCCTTGTACTACCTTTTAGTGCAATATAGTAGTGTTCTTTTGGAGTATATCGTACCCCTTTATTTGTTGGGTTTGACACGCCTAACAATCACCTCCGTGCCCTGAGCCAATAGATATTCCCTTTCCTCTTGACTGAGGAATAGAATCTTGAAAAGAAAGTAACTTGGCTAGCATGACAGATGCAACATCGTGCTTTGGAGGTGGAGGGGCAGAAGAGCTTCCCGAGGCAAACATTTCGTCATTAGCAAAAAAATCGAAGCCTTGGTCAAGAATTGGGCTCTGATCGTCTTGATCAACTTGGGCTGGTTCAACGATTGGGCTTTGATCATCTTGATGAACCTGGGCTAGTTCAACAATTGGGCTTTGATCATCTTGAATAACCTGGGTTGGTTCAGTAACAAGCACTCCCGTACTTGGATCTCTACGTCTCTACTTTCTTGGCATCAGGGAGGCATTTGAATTGTCTTTATCACTCCCAGATGGAGACTCGGTTGTAACAGGAATTGCTTGGGGAGGCTTCCTTTCAGTTGACTGTAATTGTTCAATAAGGGCTTCCATCTGTTCGGGCGTTGGATCGTTTGATTGTTTGAAAATGTTTATCTCTTTCTCTATCTCAGATGGAGAAAACACAGCCCCATTGACCGGCTCCTTCGATGGTACAAACATACGAAAATCCACACTATCATCATCATCATAATCATCATCGTCATCATCATCATTAACATTATCATCATCATCAGAAACGTCAAATGAAAACTGAGATTTGACCTTTATGGTGCCACATGTTCATCTGCCACCATAGCAATTGGAGTACTAGCAACTCTGATACCAATTGTAAAACCGAATCTTGAATGTATCAATCGATTTCACTAGAGTTGGTGCAGAATCCCAATCTAGTGAATAGCAAGAACACGTAATATGGAGTAAAAACACAATGTTTAATCTTCAATGCACACTATTATTGATTAATATTCGGGTACATAAGATTCACAATTACACTCTTGGTTCTCTCTGTCTCTCTAGAACACGATATGTGCTTCTTGGAATGATCAACTGACTCTCTTACTAACATGGCTCATATAACACTATATATACCTAGACCTATTACAAAGGCCAAGCCCAATACCCAAAACCGAAATCACTTAAGCCCACCGAAATCACATGGTGATTTCGGTCCAAACACATCCGAGATCATGGAGATTTTGGTCCTAAATCGAAAACCATAAAAGCCTAGAAAAGTAAAGTATAAACCACAAATTTATGTCCTAACAATATCCCCCTTGGTTTATAGCTTTCTTTTCTTTTCAAACTTCCTTGATCTTGACTTTCAGCTCTTTCCTAGATCTCTTCACGACTTGACTACAAGATGTACATATGGATCTTCTACATGAATAACTCCATATTTAGTAGTTAGACTTCTTTTGAAATTTGACTTTGAACGCAAATTGGGTATAGTGGCTTCTTGTATAGGTTCTTGAAAATCAGCACTTTCAGCTTTGAGAAACTTCAGAGATAATTACAGAGAAACCGATCACTTCAGCAAGTTCACAAATAGCAGCAAATTGATTGAGGAGGCTTCAATGCAATTCGTCACATAACTTCAGATACATCTTCACCTTGCTTCTGGGGTTGAAAGATTGTGTGTTGAAAAATAATCACCACTTCTTGTTCCTTCAAATGAGTGTTCTTTGTCGATCACAGATGCGTCTTGAAAGTAACCATGACTAAAAAATTCTCGTGGATCACAGAGTCATAAAGACCATTCTCACCATAGTTGTTCAAGGACCCATACGTGGCTCAGATGGAGACTACTCGTAGTATCTATGTGAACACGGAGGACCGCACTACGATTTGTTGTGTATCGGAGAACTACTCGTGACTATTTTGATGTTATCCCCTGCATATCCTCGATCAAAGATCTCAATACAGTTTTTCAAGTTCAAAAGTTAACTTGGCCCTTGGCGAGACGTTCAACGATAATCGTGCCTTGCGAGGTGCATCACCCTAGTGCCAATAACCGTTAATTCCTTACCTGCGGGGAATGTATCCGAGAATACATTTGAGTCTCCGCAGTTTTGCATGACAATGAGAATGTCAAGACCCTGGGCGGGATGTTCAACGATACTTATTTCCCGGTTGGACGAATCGCCCTGGTGCCAAGACAACTCTTAGGTAAAGAAAACTGACAAGACCAATTTGACAATCTGTACAGTTTCAGACTTCCAATTCCTTAAATACGACAGTTCTTAGAAAGATACTGCTTAACTGACAGTTTTACAGTTGCAAGCCTTCAATTCCTTGTGAAAGTAGTGTGAAGTGTAATAACTGTTAATTCCTTTCCAAATTTCTTGTCCTTGCTCAGAAAATCCCGATACAATCTTCTTGAGTCTCTTCTTCTGATACAGTCTCCTTGAGTCTCTTCTTCTTTAAAATTTGCGTTTTAAGACAAATGAAATTTTGAGATAAAAATAAAAATAAAAATAAACTTAGCACAAAATAAAACAACTAAGAATAAAATTAAAATTAAAATACGCTCAAAAACAATATTTTTGGATTTTTTATTTTTATGAAAAAAAAAACATAAATAAACATATTTTTTTTTGTTTTTTTGTTTTTTTGTTTTTTTGTATTTTTGATTTTATGATTTTTTGTTTTGTTTTTTAATTGTCCCCCCTAAATTTGTGCATAGAGGAAAATATATGAAAAAGTTTAACAAAAACGAAGAATAAAAATAAAATGTACAAAATAGAAACTTTTGGGATCAAAAGTTGTCAAACAATTTAATATTGTTTATCAGCACACACCTGCATGAATAGCTCTGGTCAATCACCAATATTGTGGTCCACTTAAACACATAGGATATTTGCAAGTTAGACATTTAATAAGTGACAAGACATTGCAATTAAATTCCTAAATGGACCATTTTGCTGACGAGGACCAAGGATATTGTTGTCCACTTAAATTCAATAGCGAGATCTACAGTCAGCCTTTAGCCATGAACCAATTCAATTTTAAGCGCACTAGAACCTGCTCCCCACTTCACTAGCAATCAAGGAATTCCAAAGAGCTCTTTACTTTAGGTGAGTGTTCAATTATTTAAGAGAGAAGATAGATATAGAGATGCATACATTGTAGCCCAGGTCTGATCTCTTCCAATCACGCAGAGGGACAACATATGACTAACATAGATAGAGGGATAGAGAGATAGAAAGATGAATATGCTGTGTCCCAGGTCGGATCTCTTCCAATCATGCAAAGGGGACAACATATGACTGACATAGAGGATTAGAAAGAAAAACAATTTCACATAGACCTATTTTATCAGAACCCCCCAGTCACCCTATCAGCACCAGAATTAAGGACATAAGTCCGTACGTCGAAGAAATGTTGAGCTACAGTTCTAGATTATAAGTAGCTTTAATGTATCTCACATGCTCCCTTGTTTATCTCACTGCTCAATCTATCCAAGCGCCGTATGGTCAGTCCAAATGTAACTATCTAAGTCCAGATGAGTTAACACTATCAAGTCCTTTCATTGTCAATAGTGTCTAGTCCCTTTATTTTGAATCCTTCGTGCCTACCAACACATTGAACACAGGGTCCAAACAATTCAGCTTCAGTGCATTACACGTATTTCAGATTGCCTTTTAACACTAAACTTCATATCACTTCCCAAGAACACTTACGAAAGAAGACATATTTTTGGAATTTTTTATTTTATAATTTTTTTAATTTTTGATTTCTCCCCCTTGATTTGTGCATAGGGAAGAAAGGAAATAAAATAAATGCGCAAATTTAAACAAACAAAATAAATAAAAAATTAGTTTTTAAAACAAATCATTTTATGAAAACTCAGGAGTATCGAGAAAATTCAAACCGTAATTCAGCAATTGAAGTTGCATCCAGGTGACCCGAGAACAACACGCAGACACAACAACATATTCAAAATTCATCACGCCGTTAAATACGATCCCCATTTAAGTGATATTTTCTTCATCCCTTCCCGCAAAGGACACATGCTCTCCAATAAGATTCTGAATCGATCAGTTGAGAGATGTCTCTTGTCATGTGCCTGGAACAGCCACTATCAACATACCGAAGTCTGATGAAATTCCTCCATAGATGCTCCGACACAGAGTGCATAATTAGTTGGTTTTGGGAACCCAGCCCATTTTAAAACTAGGTTTACCATTACCATCTACGCATCATACTCTTTCCCATGCCATATCATGTTTATCAGATTAGGAACATAAAGAAGTTACAGGACTTTTAGACGATTTTAGAATGTGACCTTTGGGAACCCATTGGTAATTTGGTTTGTGTACTTTCTGGTTGGACCGAATAGGACCTTTTTCACTTGCCTTTGGGTTGGGACTGCCTTTCGATTTGGGCTTGTGTTGTGAGTGTAAGCTAGAGGACGACCCTTGAGATGAATTCGACCTTACCGATTTCGGTTTGGTCGAACCATCTCTCGAATTAGGCTTCATGTCCGACATGACCTTCTTGTCCTTGGGAATCTGATTCTTAGCCCTTTTAGCATACCAATCACCATTGTGTAAATGTGACCTCGAAGGATTTCTTTTGGAAGATCTCCTCCTTGGCACGTTTTGCCAACCTTGTTCATAGTAGGGAACATATGAACGATGTGGGCAATTTCTAGCAATATGACCGGGAGTCCCACAGTTAAAACAAGTCTGTCTTTTCAAATAAATAAGATTGTGACTTGGTCCTTGTCCAAATGAAGTTTGTTTCAAGGACCTCCCACAAGAACAAGCACATGCACATTTATTAGACTGTTTCACAACTTTATGAGGCTTAAGATTGTTAGCAGCGCTATCACGTGTTTTTGAAGCATTTTCAGTAGAACTAGAATTAATTTTGTTCTGCTCAATCCCATCTTGCACTGTTACTTTCTCTACACATTAAACAGAAGCATTAGTTTCATTTACCTCATCAGAAGTTTTTGAATCATTTTCAGCAAAAGTACAATTATTTTTGTTCTGCTCATGCCCATCTTGCATTGTGACCTTATCTGCACATGAGGTAAAAAAAATTAGTATCGTTCACACTATAATTATTTACTAACTCAACTATAGTAGGTTTTCCATACTGTAGATGTGCTTCCTTTGCCATTTCTTCCTCAGTCAGGCAAGTAAAGGTGTAGTTATCATTGAATGGAGGAGGAACAAACTATCATACCCTAGACCTACATTCTTTTTGTCTTTCCATCTAAGTTGCTTTTCAATCATTATTTCAACTTTATTACTTGACACATCAAATTTTTTAAAATTAAAATCTGCATTTTCAAATCTAGTTTTCAATGTGTCAAGCTCGGCAGTTAGACTGGCAATCTTTTCTTGAGCATAATCATAGTGTTCACATTTAGTGTTGTATTCTTCCTTAATACTTTTTAGATCTTTGGTTTGGGCTTCTAACTTTTCTTTTAAGGATTTTTGGGCCTTTCTGAGAGTATATCCTTCATATTTAAGATCCTCAATTTCCCTAATTAATAACTCATTATGCTCACGGTATTTATTTATTTTATCTTCACAAGACTGAGAGCATGGGGTTTCACTTACCTTCTTCGTAATGTTGTAGGAACTCATTATTTACCAACGAAAGGAATCTGATTGTGTAAATAGATTTTGACCGAAAACCAAGAAAAT